GGGGGGGGGGGCTATAGCCCCCCAGCCCCCTCTGGCGCCACCCCTGCATGATATGAACTCGTGACATGCATATTCCGTACCGTTTGAAACCAATGCGGAAGATGATATATAATATGAGGTGAGGGTTCGTGAGGTTCACCGGAGTGCAATAAAGTGAAATTTAACGAGAACCGTGTTGTAGTCATGTTAACACAAGGAATACAGTCACTTACGATTATAGTCTCGAATAGCAGCAAAATAATTATAGCATTTATAATAACAAATATCATGATCACAATATGGTATAATAATCCAGGGAGTTGTTATAGTGAATAATCTTTATGTTTATGTATAATAGTTTATAGATCTTCAATAATATATAATATATAATTTATATTATATATTATATATTATATAATATATAATTTATATAGGCCTATATACATACTTATATAGCGAATAACATATAAAACTATAACAATTATTGGGCTTAGCCAATAACATTAATATAAAAAGCACCAATCAGAGAATGTATAATAACTGATGTTTTTAAATAATCTTGTACTGAGAAGGTGAGTAAGCATACAGTTAGTAAACTAGCCTACATTATGACAGCTAGGATTAAACACGGAAAACGAGGATTAGGTTGTCGTAAGAACAGACTGCTAACTCGAGCACTCATTACAGTCGAATCACAGGGATATCCGGAGAAAATATCAGTATACACAACAATCGCAGTACTGTACTTACCAAATGTACTCTAAGTCAAGAAAAAAATACGTAGTAATAAATTGACATTCGGCGCTAAAGTTCTGTCAAGGTGTAGAATGCTTATTCATTCAATGGTGCAAAAGGACGTTCAAGCTCTTCCACTCAACAATGGATTTGAGGAAGTGAATTAACTGTGCGATTATCGACAATAGGTGTTCCGAATACGGACCAAATGTGATTCAGCCGAAAACTGTTGAGGCAAACAAGTCAAGGTCTTGGTACTCTCCGAGAGGACAGAAGCGCAAAAAGGGTTTACGCCCTCAACGGTGTGAATGTCTACCAGAAAACTTTTTTTTTTTTTTTTTTTTTTTTTTCATTTTTAATTTGTACCGGGTACTAAAAAGAAGGATCTTCTATTCTATTGGATTACAGTGTCGTAGCTACGGGTAGTACAGCCAGTACAAAGCACTGGGACCGGGGGATATTAGGGCCCATTCACAAATAAACCTACAATGATAATATGAAATAATTGCAAATTTAATATTTTTGAAGGGAAAAAAAACCGGCCAGGTGGCTCCTCAACAATATTTGGTTTGTCGAGAGGAGTAATTATTGATCTGTGTTGATTTAAATTTAGTGGTGTATTGAAGGGGGCCCAACATTAGGCCTATAAAAAATGGGGAGAGGGAAAGGAATTCATATTAAAATTTAAGTTTGAGTGCAATTTCCGGATATCTACAGGTGATATAAATAAATTTTCTTACCTCATTGAGATGGTATTCACCCTCCTCCCGTGAAAATTCCCTTCCTGGCCCTAGTGGCGGTGGTAGCGGGGGCAGGGGGCGTAAGCCCTCCCCCCTCCCCCACCCATCAGACATGTCAAGCCTCTCCACCTGCCCGAGCTCATCGGGCCAAACCAACACAATATTGAGAGTGCCATTTTGGCTATCCGGAGTCCCTGCAATTGTTAAATTTTACATGCCACCATTTTTCTTGATTAGTTTAGAACAGCTGCTGAGAACAAATCCGATTACCATTAGTATTTATTACTCGCCTAGCCTTTAGGAGTAGGGGGTAAAAGAAACACTTCTTACGATGAATTTTCTGAGAACTTTAGGGAATTTCCTATCACATCAAAGGACCCGGCAATTAATTTTGCACTGGGGCCCTTTTGCACCTAGCTACACCGCTGCGGGATTATAATGGTATTACATCAAATACCGAAAAATAATGTTTAATTTATTCATATAATTTGAACATCATATCACGATGATAATGATGATGATAATAATAATAATAATGATGATGATGATGATGATGATGATGATGATGATGAGGATGATGATGATGATGATATAATTAATCACTGAAGTTGTCAACCACTGGGTTTTATGAAGGAAAGTAATTAGTTTGTATAATACCGAAATGCACCATCGTGTCGGGATTCAATATTTCGACATTAATTATGTCATCATCAGGAATGAAAATTATCCATATTTGCAAGCTTATATGCACAAGTACCAAAAGTGTTTGACCAATCAAAACATTACCCCTGGTAGGTGACATAGCTATGAATAGAACTAAAGATCAAAGCATTCTTACCCTACTGATTAATCAGCGAACCTTTTGGTAATTAGTTTGGTACTGTTAAAAAAATGGGATTGGAATCTACCGCCCTCAATATCGCGATTGTTTTCATCAAAGTTTAAATTACAGTAATTATAAATAATGTTTCTGTTAATGTCATTATATGAAAACAGTTGGTTTGATACGATTATTCCTATGCCGTAACTGGTTCTGCTTCTCTGGGCCATTCTTCATCAAAGCCGACAACGAATTCAATCCTTGCAACGGAGCTCCAAGCGATAGAGATAGTGGTACGTGGTACCTACCTTGCTTTTCAGTACTCCGCCCTCAACAATAGGAAATAAGTTCTTAGAATGACTCGGACGTACTTAGCCTTCAACAGCTATCACTCGCACCTTTGTGGTCATAGCTTCTTCCCCACCCCAGTGGTGGCGCCAGGACCTGCCCGACGGAGGGGCTAAAGGCCCCGACGGGGGGGGGGGGCTAGTGGAGCGAATCGAATCTCACTTGGCTGGGGGCCAGGGTTGCCGCCTAGAGGGCCCCCGGTGGGGGCCCTAAGCTTCGCCCCCTGGAAGCCACGAGATATTTGATGAATTATGGCGAATTTTTATTACTTATTTGATAGGCATCGAGTTACTATAATATGGCTTCATGTAGGCCTAGGCTATGCTTTCTAATGTTGAAATCAGCTTCCAAAACCAAAACATTTTGAATAAAGCAAGAAACAAAAGTATGCAATGTAACCATCTAATTTATTTTCAAATCCTCATTCTTGAAAGTGAAATTCTATATTTAGGAAATTTTGCATGAAATCTGTCAACCACGCTGTCATGGTCGAGGTTGCATCTATTACGATGTATTCCAACCATCATGAGGTTATCTAAATGAGCATTTGTCATAACAGAACGCAAATTATTTTTAAGTAGTCTCATTGAATTATTATTATTATTATTATTATTATTATTATTATTATTGTTGTTGTTGTTGTTGTTGTTGTTGTTGTGATGAAAAGTTAACACAAACAATATGGTGGCTAAACGAATATTACATGTAAATATTTTTTATAACTTCTTATACAATGAAGATCGATTGATCTGCATGTGAAGTGCGCGCCAAGTTAAGTCACGTGACCTAAATCGCCTCGAGTGCTTCGGTCTCTTGTAAACACATTTCAGAAAGCTCGCCTCAATATTCAAACACACTTACGATATTAATCTTCGATTTTGTGCATGATCGATTAGTCTTGTTGTGTATTAATGAGGCCATCGCAATTATGCAGTAGGAGCAGACAACCAGCATGGCGTGCGTATCAATAACAATAATGACTGTCTCTTATACACATCTAGATGTGTATAAGAGACAGTCTGTATACCTCTCCCTTAGGGGAGGTATACAGTTAGTTAACAAACTTAGGCCTACACCGACTTATTACACAGGAATACCGTTCGATTGATGGTTGAAGCACAGTTCGCCTAATAATAGAAATCCGATAGAGATGTGAATGTATCATTCTCTTCTGACATGCTATCCATGAGCGATGGCATTGAGTTATCAAACTTTATTAAGGTTAACATGATTGTAAGTACGAAGAGTAAATGAGACATTTACTGAACGCCACTATCTCATATTGCTGCAATCGATCATTGAGTGTCAATGTTCTACGATAATGCATACATGGTTGGCGGTGATATTTATCTAGGCCTATATAAGCATCTCAGCGAATTATGAAGGTAATAATAAAATATATAAAGATGTAATTGATAAAAACAAATCCATATAATTAAATGTTGTCATCACGCAATCATCATAATCTTCCGTTGTGCATAAACCTTTTTTAATAGTTGATCTGTACAACCAATCTCGCTTGTTCTTGAGCGGTAAAATTATGTATGCACTGTGCGTGCACATGGACTTCGTTGAACACGGAACAAACGGCTTAAGGTCACTTTCGAAAAACGGTACGGTACGCTATATAAAAAGTATAACTTGAGAGTATTATAACCCCACCCCCAACACACACACACACACACACACACACACACCCACACACCCTAAATTGAACCAGTTATCCAATAACATTTTGTTACAATCTACACACAGTTTTGTTGACCACTATGCCACTCTCAAGTAAATTTTAAAATAGTATCACGTGACGAAATACGCAATTGTCTACCCTCACACCATCCCAACCTGTTAGTATAATTTAAATGAAACATATCCTTAAACAAACAAATCATTATGCATAGATCTACTATTATAAATTCAACGTACGTTGTAAATACGCATATATTAAATTATTATATCATATTAATATTGCACTATGTTATTATATTAAATTATAATATTATATCAATATAATATCATATTTCAATAATTATGTGAGAGAAGCTGGGTAACTACTTTTTTATTGTTTCTTCACATTTTACTAAGGCTATTTCTGAATCGTTGGCAATGACGCGCAATGATGATTAGATAATTCTCTTTCCCAAGCGATTCAAAGAGATTGGGTGGATGGCGCCTGCATCGCGTAGCCACGACCAATCGCGAAGGCAACTGGCAATGAATGCGCAGCGACGGTCAATATTGCTTAGCAACGGCCAATATCACATCGTAATAGGCGATGATGAAAATTCCTACTTAATTTGGGAAGAGTCGCATTGCAGAAAATGATGACGTCAAGCCTATTAGGATGATTATAGGCCTACTGTATAATATATCGCGCTGGTGTAACAAACTAGAGCATAAAAATCAATAACAACCGGACAATAAATTCAGAACAAATAAATGACTTTTTAAAATTATAACTTCTTATACAATGAAGATCGATTGATCTGCATGTGAAGTGCGCGCCAAGTTAAGTCACGTGACCTAAATCGCCTCGAGTGCTTCGGTCTCTTGTAAACACATTTCAGAAAGCTCGCCTCAATATTCAAACACACTTACGATATTAATCTTCGATTTTGTGCATGATCGATTAGTCTTGTTGTGTATTAATGAGGCCATCGCAATTATGCAGTAGGAGCAGACAACCAGCATGGCGTGCGTATCAATAACAATAATGAATATTAGAGTCCTATTGTAGGCCTATTTGTAACTACGGTCTCAGTCATACCGGTATCACACACAATGATGGTGATGATAATGCTCTTGCTACATCGACATCTTTTGCACGGAACAAAACAAATCAAATTCGTTAAAGTGTGTCAATAGGAAGTTTCTTACGAAAACGATAACGAATACGGTTACGTAATAAATTTTTTAGACACCCCAGTAGCATGTCTGTCACAACGTAGGCAATTTATGCCTTTTGCATGAATCAAGCATCATATTCAGCTCATACAGCAGAATTCAAAGAATGTTTAGCCGCGAATGACGGTCATGGTAATGACATCTGGGGCGGATGCAGGATTTGGCGGTAGGGGGTGCGTGCAAAAATTTATGGAAATAGTACCTGTAGATGGCCGGAAATGACACTTTTATATAGTAAAATTCATCATCACCACATTACCATTATATAGTCAAAAGTATCAGCGATTTTCGGCAACCAGAGATCAAATTAGTATGTGTAATGTACCATAGAAAATGGAACTTAAAAACGTTCTCTTTTAATGTATTTATTTACCTACTTCAAAGCCGTGAGTCCACAACCACCTCAGCCCCACCATGGTTGGGGCCTAGGTGAGAAAATTTGAGGAAATAGTACCTTTAGATGGCCGGAAATGACACTTTTATACAATAAAATTCACCAGTATCACACCATCATTATTTTGTCTAGATGAAGCGCCAGCAAATTTCTCATGATCTTTTATCAGGGTACGTATTCGGCAACAACAGAGATCTAATTAATACGTGATGTACCACAGAAAATAAAACTAAAGAAACACTTTCTTTGATTCATTTAGTATGCTCGACCTACCTCAAAGCCGTGTGGCCACAATCACCTCAGCCCTACCATGGTTGGGGCTGAGGTGAGCAGATTTTAGAAAATAGTACCCTCAAGATGGCCGGAAATGACACTTTTAAAATTCATCATCTTCACGTCACCATTATAATATAGTCAAAATGAAGCGCCAACAAATTCTCATGATCTGTTATCAGCTATTATCGGCAACCATAGATATCTAATTAGTATGTGTGATGTACGTTACCCTAGAAAATAAAACTTAAAAACATTGTCTCCCCTCGTCGGGGAGAGCTCCTCCCTCGTCGGGACATCGCCCTCCCCCCCCACCCCTGTATGGGACCTAGACTCCCCCGTCAGGCAAATCATGGCGCCACCCCTGGACATTTACCCCTTTTCCATAATCTGCGCCCATGGATGGGTGAAAGTCCATCACCTCAGCTCCATGATTGGGGCTGAGGTGCGAAAATTTTGAGAACATGGCCCGCTGGGTGCCCGGAAATTGCACTCTCATGTACCTTAACAATCTTACCAATTATTCATAGGCCCTATCAACAATATAATACAATTATTTTTCTTAATACAATTTAGGGGGTGCGATCGCACCCCACACCCCTGCATCCGCCCCAGTGTGACGTATTCGTTATCGTTTTCGTAAGATTGCGAAAACTCCCTAATGATCATTGATTTATTCAGTTATATTTCAGCAGAATCAATTTTGAATCCAAATTAATCCATCGGGGCCTGTGGAAATTTAAACATCTTTTGATTGGCTATTATGGTATAACGTATCCTATTTTAATACACGGCCTCTGGTACTTAACATATACTGCACGTAAGATCTTGATGAATATCAATGAAAATGAGTTGTTGAATTACTGCAGTAATCCGTTAAGACAGCTAAGAAGAATGTTGATAATTTTTTTTTTTAACTTTTAGGATAGACCTTCATCCTGTTTTTTCGGGTTCAGTGTAACCGAGCCCACATTCTCTATTCAATAAATTATATGTTTAAGAATCAACAAGTGTTTTGTGTTTTTGTGTTTTGATTACCATAATGTTCTAATAGCAATATAATAAGAACATGTTATTTTAATACACAATGCCCACGACAACAATGGTGACGACGATGGCGATGATATATTAATAATAATAGACGTTATAAAAATATCTTGGCATTTAAAATGACATGCTATTGTATCTTGTGTGTGTTTTGACAAAATAGATGGAATAAAATTATACCAATGTGATATACCAAGCTTATATTCGTGTATAGATGTTGAATAGAATCATAACAAAAGTAAAAAAGACATATACCTTCATTTGGAAAAATACATTCATATGCAAAACACCTGTATTTGTATCTTTGGTTGCTAAATGTGTCTTTTAGACATTTACTTTCCACAATGAAGATAGCAGCTTAAAAAGCCTGTTTATACTTACAACGATAGCGATAAAAAGCTAAAAAGGAATTGTTCATATAAAAAATAAAAGAAATAAGAGAGGTTTTCACACTAGCACGATTTGCCATAACGATTTATCATGTATATGATAATAATTTTTTCACAAATCAAATCAAATGACGTCATTATCATGGGAAAACGATAAAATCGTTTTTACTACTAAGATTTTATCCTTTTGCGAGTATCAACAGGCCTTTAGTTTCTATTCAAATTTACGCTTGTATTCTTATATTTTATGTACCCCATGAAAGATAGAAAAATTAATAAATGCATAATGATAATAAATATTTTTCCATATTTTTTTCTATTTCAGATTGGATGTTGAAATTTTGTATGGCTCCTTGGCCATAGCAGAATTCAGCATACTGTATCATCTAACAAGTCTTCAAAGCTATAAGGCAATTTGCTTAATTTTATTATATTTACAAAAATTAAATATTTTTTTCCTATTAGTTATTGTTTTAAGGGATAATTTATTTTTCAAAATGATGGTTACTTCATTTAGGCCTACAATCATGAAATATCTATATATTTGTTTTTGTTCCGATGAATATCGCAATTTGTGGTGGTATGAGTTTAACGATTAAGCCGTGTACTCACTCCGCCCGATGGACGCGATTCTATGGAGAACGCAACACCACGACGCAACGGATCGTCTGTGCGTATAAAATTGTTACCGGTAGTAGTAGTATATATTTTTTGTGATAAATGTTCTCTTCGACGAGTCTGTTTAAAAGCCAAATATTGGCTTTTAAACAGACGAGTCTGTTTAAAAGTGTTTAAAAGCCAAATATTGGCTTTTAAACAGACGAGTCTGTTTAAAAGCCAAATATTGGAGCGTATCCAAAAGGATGCAGAGGGTGAGATCGCACCCTATTGTACTAAACTTAGACTTACAATAAAGCTTCTTAATGTGACGTGCGTTGTTTTATGTCATTTATTCGATATTACCCCTGAAACTACTTCAACCTTCTCATTTTTTGCGGGTTTCTAGAAGAAAATCCCGAAAGAATGATGGCTGACAATACTGCATATAATTATAAATAGAAAAAAAGAAACACAAGACACAAAACAAACAAGGTATAGGCAGGGAACAGATAATTTAACTGTTGTAGGTCTATGTTACCGGTACCCTATTAAAAAAAAGGTAGCATTTGAACAGCATATACAGTATTTACAACGGTTTAGCGGTTTTAGTACAAATAATAGCAAATCAAGACACCAACAATACAATTTGACTTTAAATGTATCAACCATGCTTTATTTATTTTTATCTTTTTTTATTATTATTGCCAATTTATCTTTGAATGTTGTATTTTGACAAATGGCACTTTGCCTAATGAGCATGCGCGGTAGAATACATTATAACAAATAACAATAGTGTGTACTCGCTTTAGTAAAATTAATAATAAAAATAATAATACTTATATAAAATTTTACTGTAATATAAGCCTGTAGTATTTCAGGGCTTCATTTTAAAATATAATATATTGCCAACATTAAATATCTGTATAATCTGAAACATATCTCCATATAAAACACAATTTATTTAAGATCAATTATCTGATCAATCAATTGATTAGTCAATTAATTGATGAAAAAAGCGAACACTATAATATGTCAATAATAATAAAAATAATAATAACGATAGCAAAAATAATAATAATTTAAATAATAATAATAATAATAACAATAATAATATTAACAATAATAATAATGAGCAACTTTTCCAGCTTTTTATTGTACAGTTTTGTATACGTAAGATGGTGAATGGCAAATATTTGGTGCAAAACAAAAGTTTCATACTCAGAAAAATATTTACCATGGTTTAGTTTACATATGGTAAATATAGATATTATAAAAATATAAAAAATATTGACACTGAATAGTCCCAGAGAAATAATATTTGATCATTGATATAAATATTAAAGCCTATTATAGAATGAAGACTATATTGTTTAATATTGCTAGGTGTTAAACTAATATTTAAATCCAATATTGTGTGTACACAGTATCTCTACACGGGTCCCATTTATATACAAATTATACAATTTACATGATATTTCAGATATACAAGTTCCTCGCTATTTGATGAGAATAAATATACAGATACTTCAATGCTAACATTTTTACAAAATTGCATATGAATAATCTTAAAAAAACAGTTGTGTTATTAATAATAGAAATAATAATAATAATAATAATAATTATTATTATTATTATTATTATTATTATTATTATTATTATTATTATTATTTTCATTATAAATTATTATTATTATTATTATATTATTATTATTATTATTATTATTATTATTATTATTATTATTATTATTATTATTATTATATTTAATATTATTATTATATTTAGTTGTAGCAGTATCGTATTATCATAACCATTATCGTCATAACCATAATAATAATTTAAATTTCAATCATAATCATTACCATATTATTATCATTATCTATATTAAGACTAATATTGTTAGTAATACTAATTAGCCTTTTGTTTGATTATAAGCTGCTAAATGCAATAACCTACTTTCTTTGAAATAAATGAAGCCGACAAAAATATCACAATTTGCATAATAAATCCTAAAGTATATTTGAAATTAAAACTAGCAAATATTTGTTTAGTGACCGTTATATAGGCATAAGGGTGACAAAGTAAGAACAGTTTTTGTATCCATAAGATTCATATAAAATATACATGATTTATAGAAGTATATATAAATATTATATAGGCCTATATGTAATATATACATTACGATACACATTATATTGAGCACTGTTTCTTTATCATTTGCCTATTTGTTTATATTTATATATTCAGTGCTATGTGCCATTGCATGATTTATATATGTATGTCACGCTATTGCGATCGTCAGGCAACTGATATATATATATATATATATATATATATAGGCTATATCCAATCTAATCCAATCCTACTTGAGTTAAGATTAGGACGAGATCTGCAATCGTTGTTATGGATAATTAAATGCTTATATAATCTCTATATATTCTCAACAAAGATTTTTCTCATTCCATGTGGTCCTGTCTATGTTAAGCCATCCACAAATCTACATACCAGCCCGTAGTCGTCGACGCAAGTACATGTAGACGTATGTAACGAGGTGCGCACGACGGATCTTCTTCAACGATGACAATCAGCAGACGGAGATGGATTTGCCTACCGACGTCTGGTTTTGGCCGAATAAGGCTAGACTCTATTGATTATCAACAATGCAATGCATTTTCGTTAGGTTTTCCGTAGTTTACCTTAGAAGGTCATTTTCACCTTGTGACATCTGCGTGCATGTCAACGTGTACATACGTGTCCTGTGTATCGTCAACAAACGCTCGGTTGAGCGTTCCATTCACGGCAATCGGGTTTTTAATCGATGAATTATTCCCACTCGTCTTAGTTGCTTCCAATATATGATTCTTAACAACATCTGTAATGTTTGTGATCATTTCATCGGATAGGCCGTCCTTTGATATAATCAATTTTCTGTTCATATACAGTTCCAATCGATTAGAAAAATGTATACTTACATCTTCACAACTTAAATCTGTCGCTTGCGAGACTTCACTTGTGCGCCTTTTGACGTCTTCTACGTGCGTAATTTGTTCAGAGCTATCAATATCATCTTCCGCCTTAGCAGTAGAAGTTCTTTCTTCTTTATATATATTTTGATTTAGATGATTAAGATTACCGTTTGTTTTACTTTCGATAACTTCCTTCGAGATTGTTCTGATATTCACTTCTTTATCATCTTTATTTATCATGCTTTCATTTCCTATTAGTTTTTTCATCATAGTGGAAAGTCTTGAAGTCCCAATCGACTTACTTTTTTGTATTCGTCTAGATGCAATTTTTAATATTCCCGTTAATATCCCAAGAGCAAGGAGAATCGTAAATATCGTTAAAACCAGGTCAAAGATACGAATCCACACTGAGACGGTATCATTATCTATACTTGCCACAATGTCGCCAAAACCAATTGTTGTCATTGTAATAAAAGTGTAATATAAACTCGTCCAATATGTCCATTTTTCCTCCACCTGCCAGTAATACGACGGTAAAAACAAAGTGACGAGTAGAACAGGGATGGTCCCAAAGATTATAATCATAGCTCTGCGCAGGTCCACCGATCGGATACATTTAAACTTTTTGTTGAACAATCGCTGATACCATTTCCAGAAACGCTCGAAATTGTCTCCTAGTAGGGAAAGCAGATAACCAGTAATCGGAATCCCAATTGATGCATACACAATACAGAATATCTGTCCTCCAGTAGTCTTTGGCGTGATGTGGCCAAAACCTGTGAAGAAAATGAAAAAAAAAAAGAAATATGGTTATTAATGGTTATTAATGTATTAGACGTAGGCCTAATGATACTGTATTATAATTCGGGAGCTGTAGTCGTAATATTTTGTTAATAGGGAGATTTCGCAACCTTCCGCATACGATAACGAATACGAATACGTCATTATCATTATCATCATTCTTGACAATATGAAGTACGAGATGAATGTGATCCCTGATTCATGCAAACGGCACGAATCACATGCGTTGTGACAGATATGCTAATAGTAATGTAAGAGAAGGTTTGTCTAAACATTTTATGAAGTAACCTTATTCCTTATTGTTTTCGTAAGCTTGCGCAAACTCCCTAATATACCTATTTAGCGTTAATAGCAATGAATATGATGAAGCCGAAGAAAGCTTTTACATTTAACAAAGTACTTTAGTTTCAATTTCAAGAAAATTGGTAGTTTAAACTGCAAATAAAAACTGAAATGCATCGAATTTGCTTTTAAATATTATAATATTCCTTTTTATTATATTACAAAACCTAAATAAAACCAGAACATGATACCATATCAAGTTTTAAAACACCACATAGATAATTTAAATTAATCTATATAACAAAATAGATACTTTGTTCAATTAAGCTATATAAGCAACATAAACGCAATCTAACTTCCAATAATTATTCTCTTATATTTCCTCCATGTATATACAAATAATGAATGTTTAAGAGCGCAATGGGAAGTGTATTTTCCATGAGTTGAAAGATTGACTGTTCCATTCGGAGCCGAGTTGAATGGAACAGTCAATCTTTCAAAGAATGAAAATATTCTTCCATTGCAAAAATAAAACAAAAACATTCATTATTTGTTATATAACACACCTAAAATAGATTCTTGTCATTTGATATTCTATCCAAAAAACTCTACCCTTTTTTCTGAATGGAGATTCTTGTCATTTAATATTTTAATTAAAAAATAATTTACCCTTTTCTAAATAGAACAGACCAGCGTCTTTATAACCAATCAAAAGTTTGTATTAGGTTGAAGTCATGTCGTATCCTAGGCACCGTGCAATTGACGTCATTTTTATGGATTTAATCTTCCAGAAAAAGTCTTCGTTTCCTAGACACTGTGCAATGGACAAAATTATGGAAGGGAAGTAAAACTGCACGGTGGAACTAAATTTTTTATGATGAGTAAAGAAATGGGGTTAATAAACAATGGCACGTGATACGATGTCCACCAATCAAATGACAAGAATCCATTTAGGTGTGTTATAACAGGTAATAATTTGTATTCGATATCCAAATGGAGATTTCCATTTGAATAGGCGACTACACTGAGGTAATTTTTGAAATTGGTTTCACAATGCAATACTGAGTTATCTAGAAAAAAAAATCAGTTATGCTACTAGTATTTGTAAAGATGTATTTTCTCACGCAAAATGCCAATAACAAATCATAAAAATAATTTTCGAAATTAACTTGCTCATTTTGAAGCAACATATAAATTATCAACTAGAACATAGAAATTGCTTATCCATTGTTTACCCATTATTTTACAGCGAAAAATGATAGATGATTCATTATTTTTATTATCATTATCCAGTATAAAAATCAGGGTAGACAATTTTTAAATTCAATAATTTCTATGCTCAAGTTAATAATTATTTGTATGTTACTGCAAAATGAGCAAGTTAATTTCAGAATTATTTTTTATGATTTTTTTTGTCATTTACAAGGGACAATGCATCTTTAAAGCAAATTAATCTTTTAGTTCGACCGACCTAATAATGGAACTTTTAATGGAAGTCCAGCTCCTGTAAGATTTGAATGGCCCCACAAAACGACAGCGTAAACAATACGTAAACACGTATGTCTGTGGGACAGGCGCGTATTCATGACCATGATTGGTCAGTAGAGTTTGGCTGATACTCCCGAAATGTCCATTACTGGGTCTTCCCTGGCGAGTATTATAGCCGTTCACATATTTATTTTTGTACCCTCTACATTAATTGTTTATGGAATTCGATAAATTTATTTAGTTGATGTCTATAATAAAGATTTAGAGAGGAATACAAGCAGGCTTATTAAACTTGTTGCTTGTATGTACCTCGTGTACCGACTCATAGGCTTACATGTCGCGCGTCATCGTGGACTAGCATCCCTACTGTTAAAACTGGTTCAGAAAAAAATAATAAACTGAAACCTATGTGAACAACGTGTGAATACAGATGTACTGTACTAATTAGCAGAACAAATTGGGATTGAATAATAATTAACCAGTCTGGTTATTATAGCGACCATGTATGATACGTAGGCCTACTGTACTTAGAAACAGAGTGCATACTTTATCCAAAAGAGCACTGGTAAAGAGACATCGATTAGACCTAATACACATCTGTCAGCTGAACTCAAGACTGACAAACATTTAAGTCTAAAACAATAGTTACCAAACAATTCACGATGGTGATGTTAATGACAGTGGTGATGAGGATGAAATTCAAAATCAAAATGATGCTAATAATCAAAATAATATTAAAATGATAATGGAAAATATAACCAACAAGAGGAAGATGATGACGTCAATATTCAGGGCGCCCTCTTAATTGAACGATATAATTTGATGCTTTATCAGCGAAGTCTCATTATGAGGCTTGTGGAGATATTTTTTAGTCTTGAGAAACAAAAATCCCTGTGGTTTCACAGGATTTGAACCCATCACCCTAGGATTGGAAGGCAAGCATCTTAACCACCAGGCTACAGATCTACTACGATGAGGATGATACGATGATGATAATAATAATTATAGTAATGATAACAATAATAGGTAGTTTTCGCCGCACGACGTTATTTCGATTTGTTTACAAAATGGGCGGAGCTATTGCGTTGCATGTTGGGTACTAACGTTAAATTAAGGTTAACGTCGTGCCGCGAAACTACCTAAATAATAATAATAATAATAATAATAATAATAATAATAATAATAATAATAATAATAATAATAATAAGTCTAATAATGTTGATGATAATGATAATAATATAACAATAATAATAATAACGACTGTTTTCATAGAACATGCACTTATACTTAATAGATAACTTTGGTGTTAGGTGTGGCCTGAAATTACATTATTTACTTAGGACACTTTCTCTGTGATGAATCATGATACGGCAATCAAAATGATTGATTTACTAATGAAAACTAATTCATCCAATGCTATGATGCGACAGGTTATCGGTGTAATGGTAAGAATTTGAATTTGATTGTATAATGTGGGCTTTGCGCGATAAGTAATGAGAATGTACCGAGTGTGTATCTCCAATACAAATGCGTATTCTGGTGGTGGGGGGGGGGGGGGGGGGGGAGGTGGGGGGGGGGGGGGGTGAGGAGTGCTGTGGTGGTGAGGGTGAGGAGTGGGTAAAATAATGTGACAGTGATAGTAGTGATAATTATGATGATTGTGATTATTGTTGTAATTATCATCATCAGCATTTATTATTACTAAGAATATTATTATCATCATCATCATCATTGTTATTAATAATTAGTATTATAAAGATTATAACTATAATAATAGACCCTAATGATGTTTATAATGATGATGATATGATGCAGCTGATGATAAAGGCCTAATATTATTATTATTATTAATAATGATAATAATAATAATAATAATAATAATAATAATAATAATAACAACAACAATGACGATAGTGATGCATGATATTACTACAATATGGCGTGTGAACCACTACACTTGCAATTTTCCTCTTCTCTCGATATCATTATGGTTTTATATGCAATTTTACATGGATCGATTATCCGCCCAACAAAACGTGTTAAAGGGACGAAGCAGTCAAACTGTCAAACCAGTCTATTACAAAATATCACAAAAAAGCAATCAATTATTAGTAGTATTTACCTTCCAATATTATCGTCATCCAAATGCTCGTTAGCACATAAAAACAATTATTGTGGAAGTTTGTGACACAGCTTTAGGCCTGGGCAACCATTTAAGGGGTAGTGAGTCGAAGACCAACGCTGCCCTCTGCTTGTGTCTCCGGGAAGACACTCCATCTACGTTTGTCTCCCCTCAATAAGGTGGGTGGGGGGGGGGGATGAGTGGGTAC